ATACAATGCAATCCTAATTTTTCGCACTTCAAACGTTATGACAAAGTGCAGAAAAAATTAAATACACAAATATTTCTGAATGAGTAAGAAAAATACAAAGGATGCTGAAGAATGAATTTTTGAAGAAGGAATGAAGCTCCTTAAATAAGCAAATAATCTATGCGAGGGGTACAATAATTGAAGGGTATAGCCCAGCATTTAATTTACGTGCTATACCCACCGATTATTGTGGGTCAGTCAATTAACATGTATAACGCATGTAATTCATGCGTTATACCTTAATGAACAAACGTGCCGTTAAGGTATAGCGAATGAATTTCATGCGCTATATATAAAAAGGTCACCAGTTATTTTTTCATTTGGAGTCCAAAAAACCAACATTTTGGTTCCGGGCTCTTGGGAAAGTAACATATTCCTTAATGGGATTGCTCTCCCACCAGGGGTGTACCAAACTTTAGTCGAGGGGTTCAATTGAAAACCCTCCATAGCAAACTTATACCATGGAAAAAAGGGTAAAAGCATTTTTTTTTATAGATATATATCTAAATTATTGAATGCCATTGACATACGTTCTTACCTTATGTTTAACATTTTTACATTTTATTGAATCTCCTTATGCAAATTTCTGGTTACGCTATACTGAAGCCAACAAGCAAATACTACACGCTGAGGTTAGTGATCAAGAAATAAGAGGAATAGCGAGAGAAAAGAGGATGAAATTTTGCCATATGCATTATCCTGTAGCATCTTGCAAACACAAGTAGTCAGTGTAGGAATGTACCTATTACATTTCAGTCAAGCTATATATGTATATCATTACACCTCGATCTCAAAGTAGATAAAGTCGACCATATGAATTATCAGTAACTATTTTCCTCATCCAATGTAACAAGGTTTCCCTATAATTTGACTATTCTTTATGCTGGTTTGTAACCCTTTTCATATATCCAGACATGGACCAGTTACACTTTCACATAGGCAGTGAAAATATTGTAGAACATATACTCATATTAAGTTCTCACTCATTGTCACTAAAGAGTAGTGACTGCAGTAGTACTCCACACGGCGACTTGAAATTTTGGATCTTCTCTATGCAAAATGCGTTTCCTCGAGGCATTATACTAAATTGCAGCTCTGAATACTTTTGCTGATGAAAGCCTTAGAAAAGCCAATGCTTCTTTCTGCGCACTCTAGCAGGCACCTCTGTTGCACATCCAGATAAGAATAGCAACAAACATATCAGCAACCAATGATAGGCAATTTCGTAAGGAAGAACGGAAACAGGACAGGCAGAGGCTGGTAGCCTGGTAGAATATGGGTTCAATTGGTCCAACTGAACAAGGAATAATATATGTATGTATGTACTCCCTCCGTTTCAATTTATGTGAACCTATTTCCTTTTTAGTCCGTGCCAAAAAGAATGACCTCTTTCCTTATTTGGAAACAATTTACCTTTATGCAATGATTTATAGCCACACAAAATATATGTGACTCATTTTATACCACAAGTTCAAAAGTCTTCTCTCTTTTCTTAAACTTCGTGCCCAGTCAAATGAGTTCGGAGGGAGTATATATATATATATATATATAT